CATGAGCAAAGTCGTTCTTTCGAATGCGCTTTACACGCTGTTCGACCATTTCGCGGCGTTCGACGGTGAGGAAGTCAAGCTCACCAAAGACGAAGTCGCAGGGCTGACCTCGGCGTTCGGCGAGATGGCCGATTACGCCCTTGAGCTCGAAAGCGCGGCTGGAACGGCTCGCAAAATCTCGGCCCGCGCCAGCCTTGCCGCCAGCGCCGTCACGCTTGGCGGCAACATCATCCTTTTCCCGATTGTGCCCCGCCAGCCTCTGCCGGCCGCTTGATCGCATTCAAATCTCAGCAGGACCGAACAAATGACCGCAGTCAGCTTTGAACCTCGCAACAGCCTTACCGGGCGCATTGCGGCACTTGAGAATGGGCTCACAACGGCCCGCAAATATATCTGCAGCGAGCGCCAGGCGCTGTTGGACATGTGCGATGCGTGCGACGACGGCGCGCCTGATCTGGCAACTCTCTCGCCCGCAATGCGCGCCGAGCTTGAGGAACTTGTCGCGGACCTTGCCACTGTCGATGCGTTGCTCGCGGGTGGTCCGCGAGGCGGTGTCGGCGACGGTATCATCGTGGTCGGTGATGACCGTTACATGCGTGATGCTCGCGGCAGTCTCACGCCAGTCAACATGATCAAGGCGAAAGACCAGCTGCAGGATGAAACGGTCCGCAAGGTCATCGGATACGCAGTTGAACTCTCGGAACAGGTCAGCCGCTTCGCGGGGCATACCTTCGCTGATCTCAACGCCTTCCAGTCGCTTCTGGAGCAGGAATACGGTGCGCCCAAGGGGGGCGCGAAGGGCAACGTGACCTCTCAGAGTTATGACGGGCTCTACAAGGTCACGGTCCAGATTGCTGACATTCTGGATCTCGGCCCAGAGCTTCAGACGGCCAAAGCGCTGTTCGACGCGTGCCTGCTCAAATGGGGCGCAGAAAGCCGCCCCGAGCTGCGTGCCATCGTGAACACCGTGTTCTCGGTCGAGAAGGAAGGCCAGATCAACCGGTCAGGACTGTTTCAGGTGCTTCGCCTTGAGGTGGATGATCCCGACTGGACCCGGGCGCAGCAGGCCTTGCGTGACGCCATCAGGCCGGTGGCCACCAAGCGGTACACGCGGTTCTACCGGCGCGCGAGCGTGGATGCCCGGTGGGAGCCAATCGTCATCGATCTGGCTCGGGCATGATGTCCGCCGATGACGAGCTCGCTCATCTGCGGGCCGATCATTCTCACCTCTTGCAGCTGGCGGTCGCCGCCAGTTGCTTCGTCGCCGAGGCGCTTACCCAGCCCGATTGCGACCCAGACGCCTGGTGCCAGTGCCCGCGTCCCAAGCCCTCTCGGATCGCTGCTTACAAGCACGCCGCAGCCGTTGTTCTCGACATCCACGCCATCGCCCAACGCCACAGGAACCGTCCGTGAGCATCAGCCGTCCCAACCTCGCTGTCGTGGCCCACAGGTCTGAACCGCCGGAGTCGCTCGACTATTTCCCGACGCCTCCTTGGGCTACCCGCGCGTTCGTCAATCATGTGCTCCTGCCGCTGCTCGATGCGCAGCTGCAGGACCACGTGATGGACCCCGCCTGCGGCGAGGGCCACATGGCGGCGGTGCTGGCGGAGACCTTCGCCAACGTCAGCGCCAGCGACATTTTCCCGTATGGCTATGGCGACGTTGCTGACTTCCTCGCAGCAAATGGTCCGGACGCGGACTGGATCATCACCAACCCGCCGTTCAACGCTGGCGTGAACTTCTGCCGGACAGCGCTTCCGCGCGCGCGGCGCGGCTGCGCAGTTCTGGTGCGGACGCAGTGGCTTCACACCGATGAGCGGTTCCGCCTGTTTTCAGAGCAGCCGCCGTACCTCATCGCTTATCCCGTCGAACGTATCCCGATGCACAAGGGCCGCTGGGAGCCGAAGGGCTCAACGGCCACCGATTACGTGTGGGTTTGCTGGCGGCACGGCCATGCGCCGCGCCCTCCAGTGTGGATCCCGCCGGGCCAGCGCGCCGCGCTCACCCGGCCAGACGACGCCGTTCGCTTTGGCGCGCTTCAACCCGCTCCGCTTCTCGAGGTCATGGAAGGAACGTCGGCATGAGTGACAATCCGGACCCATACTGGGAGGGCCATGCCCCAACGTCGGGCTGGGCAACGCCGCCCACCAAACAGTCTTCTGGCTGCTATGTCGTTGATGAAGAAACGATGAACCGCATCTATAGCGGCCTGCTTGTTGGGCGCGCTGCCTGCCCGGGCGATCTTCCGTACTGCGCCAACCAAATTGATGTCGCTCTTGTCAAAGCCGATGCAATTGTTGGGCGTGTCAGGCAGGAGGGTCGGTCGTGAGCCCTTCCGTCCTTGCGGCATACGCAATCTATGTCTCAGCCGTTCTCAGTGTTTTCGGCGTAGCCACCTATCTCGTGGTGGCTCGTGAGAAGAGCCCGTGGTGGTTCGTCCTCGCCTTCATCGTCGTTGCCTGCATCCCCATGGAAATACGCCATGACTGACGCCGATGTGGATCACGATTTCCCGGCGCCGGGCAGTCAGGCTGCCATCGTCGCAGGCTGTATCTGCCCAGTGCTCGATAACGGTCATGGTCAAGGCTATCGCGGGGTGGATGGCGTCTACATTTTCACTTGGGGCTGCCCCATCCACGACGCCGATCGCAGCGGTGCGTTTCCATCAACCGGTTTGCCAGCAAGCAAGGAAGGAGCGCGCCCATGAGCCATCCCGCCATGCTCGCCAAGATTCATATCGCCCGCAAAGAGCTCGGCCTGCAGGAGGCGGACTATCGCGCGCTGC